AGATTTTCCATACTGCGATTTGCAACCTCTGTTTGGTTTTCTATATGAGAGTGTGTTGTTGCTTTGTAGCTAACTTACAGAATAAAATCCTCCATAAGCGGTTGAGAAATTTCATGTTCCTGTATGAAATAATGCTCCCAAGTAATATGAAGATCAACAACTTCTTGAAGTATATGTCTGCAGTGTGTGATGTGTCCATCGTCTTGTGGCAAGAAACAAAATATTTTATCTTGAAGAGACGATCTACCAAAACCATAACAAATCCTTAATCCGCAGCGTCTGGGGTAAGCTCGACACAAAATCCATGCTCATGTCCAACCAAGGTGCCTTTAGAACATAAAGGGGAGTGCATAAGCTTGTATTTTGTCCTCGAGACTTTCTCAAATGACATATATTGCATTGTCTAGCGTGTATCTTCACATTTCATACCAATCTAGGCCAAAAAAAATTCTCTTTTACGAAGGAAATGATTTAACTCTGCCAAAATATCTTATCATCCATCCATAATGACACTCAAGTAAAATACTCTCCTTAAGTGAACTCAAAGAAATTCATATTTTTTTCTTCACAGTTTTTTTCTAAAAAGAATAAATATACATCAAATATGTGATAATGGTCATACGATCTATCCTTACATCGTGTCTAAAAAATCAGAAAATTCTCATCAACTACATACAATTCTTTCAATAGCTCAAAAAAAACTACCTTAAACCATATAATAGTGATTAATAGGTGGCAACAACTCAATAAATATGCTACTTTGTTCATATTCTTTGCTTTATATTTGAGGACAAAATAGAATGAACAGAAAAATTCTACCCACAAGGCGTCTCCACCCTTCAGTTTGCTCCGATTATTTAAGAATTTTAGGGTATTAAGATCAATGTAGACAATAAAATCACTGCAAATAGATAACAACTTTAGTGACTAAAGGCTAGCACGATGACATATAACTCTTTATCATTGTCAGTGTATAGTCTTGTGAAATCATTCAACTTTTCATGATAAAAGTAATATAATGTCCTCCTTGATTCAACACAGCTACAATTTTCAAATTGGAGGCATCACTCTTTACCGCAAATGCTTGGTTAAAATCTAGAGATGTTAGAACATGGGATGGAGTAACATGTTTCTTTAGAGCATCAAAACTAATATGTCTATCCTCTGACCATGAAAATCTCTCTAACTTGAGAAGATCGGTCAAGGGGATCATGATTGACATGATTGAGCTGAAATTCCCGATAAATCTCCTGTAAAAAGAAGTCAGAACATGAAAATGTGTATAAGTAAATGAATGGGGTTTAGGCCATGTCACGATAGTATCAATCTTCGCTTGATTCATCTCGATGTTAGCCGTTGAAACAATATACCCGACAAAAAAGGTCTGTGATGTAAAAAAGTAACACTTCTTTTGGTGACCATATAATCGTTTTGTATAATCAAATTTTAAAAACATCTTATAAATACTGTAAATATTCTTCTTTTGAAAACTTTACACGAGACATCGTCAAACTATACAATAAAAAAAAATTTTTGATGAAATTCACAATTCATTAGTCGCATGAAGATGTCAGGTGCATTGGACATGCCAATTGACATGGTTTACTCATACAATCCATCTCTTTTCATAAAAGATGCCTTTACTCGATCCATCATTTTTGTGCATAATCAAAGATAGCACAATAACTGGATTGGTACTCTTAAGGATGAGTCCTCGAGCCATTAGATCATCAACCTATTTTTGTAGCATCTTATATTTTGTTGGTCGCATCCAATAGGTTGGTCGGTTGGGGAGCACTGACCTTGGATAAAATCTATAGTATGTTGAATCTCTAGTAAGGTGACAATCCAAGTCACGGACTATCTATTGGAGCATCATGAAATTCCTCTAATAAGAGTCGCACTGCCTCAAGTATCAGCTTCTCTGTATCACCTGTAAAAATATGGCACGTGACACTAAAGCTCGTCTTTGTATGAGTACTCATCACTACTAACTCCTTTAATGGCAAAAGTACAATAGGTTTTTCAACCTTAAAAAATGTATGTGTTTTTGTGATCATCATGAAGCATACCCTTGTCATACTATCATGATTGACCCAAAAGAATGTAACATGTATCAATAGGCATGATATCACACCAAACATAATCTTGTAGTTTGCTTTCAATTGAAAACTCTAGCAACCATCTCTTATCAACATTGATCTCATTCTCCTTCTTCAACCAAGACAAAAAATATGGCTAGAAATATTTTTGTGTGATGCTTAATTTGTTAACCGCCTGTGTAAATAAAATATTTTCGCACTTACCTCCATTTATAATGAGACTGCACACATTCCCACTCAAAATACAATGATTGCAAAATAATATATGTATGAACCACTATTAATCCCTCTCGTCTTAGCCTAAGTGTAGAGAACGTATCGAGCCAAAAGCATCTCACCATCATTTGTAGGTAGCTCGTATTCTTCTCCAGTCTCCTATGGGCCTTCCCTCTACCTCTTCCACTATGTCCTGCTCAGTAAATAAAATCACCTTTTTCTTCAAGCAATTGGATGCAATATGCCCATATCCATGACATTTGAAATACTTCTTGGCTGAAAATATTTTAGGGGTGTTGGCCTGGTCAATCCTCTTTTTACTTTTATGGTGATATCTCTTCATGAGAAATAGTTTTGGGTACTTTGGTAGGTGTGTTCTTGCTATGCGATCTGATGGTTAGACCCGGTGTGAAAGTGGTGTGGACCGGATATAGTTATCTCTCCACCTTCAGGATAAAGTTTGGATATCATATAGTGTCTAATGGTCTAATGGGGTTGCAATTATATCAATGGGGTTGCAATTATATCACATTGCCAATAGACAATCTTAATCCCCCAAGATGTTATGTTGTGGTGTTCTCCTTGAGTTCCATTAGTCCACACTTCAACATAAATTGCTCGAACTCAATATTATACTCCACTGAAAGAATTTCCTACTGTAAGTAATGAAATCTCAAAAACAAATGTTTGTAATATATTTAGCGCGACAACATCCCGCATGGATCAAGTGATTTTGCTCCCGCTAGTACCGTGGTCTTGCAGTTCAATAGTTGGTGGAACACTCACGATTATGGGAGGACTAGTTGGGAAATTGTCCTGTTAGTAATTATGCATGAATTACTTCTTTTTTGTATTTTTTTTCTATTTCTTTCTTCCTAAAAA